GAAAAAAGCTTCCGCTAACAATCGCGTTCAAGACATTTAGCATCGTGGAAAACGATCGACAAGGCTCTTTGTTCGTCGATACGTTGACCGACTCGTCGATCCATCGGAACGCTGTTTTTCGAAAATCGAACGCTCTAATTTTCGCTCGAACCGAACTCGTCTAATGAGTTTCATTTTAATGATAAACCAATAACAACGCTGCGGTATTATTAATTCAACAGACTCTTGGTAATGTTGGGACAACAAAGTTATGGCAAACGGCATTTGTTGCTTAAGATAAAAATATGCGCTTCATCGGATGCGCAGTACTTGCAGATGAAAAAACGGTCGAACAATAAGCCAACAAATGACGAATTTTAAACACGTTGACACGTTCAAAATTTGCTGTTCGCTATGTCAAAATATAACAACTAAACTGCGGATCCTTATGCAGTTATGTCATTCACATACTTTTGAACTGTTCAGAAAGACGTGCACATTGAGAAACATTAAACGATGTTGCTATCTTATTTTTACCGTAAGTAATTTCCTTGCTGCTAAATTCAATTTGTTCCTAATCCTGGTTCTTACTTGAATAGTTTATGAAATTTGAAATTCGTATGAAGATCCGCAATCTAGTAATAAGAACAAAGTGTTTCCTAGTTTTATTGGAAGAACAGAGACGCGCTATGAAAATTGACCAAACGACAGAATTATTGTGGTCTAAATTTTTCTGAGAAATAGTCAAGTCATTCCTTCTAAAAATTGTTTAGAAATCCATGAACGACTCAGATCATACTCAAAGGATTACAATGATCAATAGGATCAACCTAATGCACGTAACCGTAATCTGGCAGTCAGCGTCCTTAAACTAATACATTGCTACGACGTTTTCTCGTTCACGATGTTCGACGAGATCGATACAAGTCTGCGTCGGTTTTCGCTGGTCTACGTCGATCGTTTTCCACGGGACAGTCTGCTACCGTAAGTTCGTAGATTGATGGTGCGAGTCGTCGAAGGCGCCATGGTTTCTTTTTATATAATATATGTATATAATATATATGTATAGTCATTAACAATATTAATTACAGGTACCTAAAAATTTCTCGCACGCGTTCCCCACGTCGGAAAAAAGTAAGAAAAGTCGAAATGCATCGTACAAGTTTAGGACAGTCTACTGGCTAAGTTCTCGGTCTCGTTCGATTCCGTCCTCCGTCGATCGGCGCGCGTCGATTCCCCGCCGATCGAGCTCCTCGTTTGGTTCTATTACCTACTCGTGTGGTTATCAAGTGATATTACAAAGTCGAAATGGTAAAACGTCGTTACGAAAAAACAAAGACGCTGCGAGAATGTTCCCGCGTCGTGTGAACGCTGAGAAAATCGATGTTTGATAGATGTGAACACGACGCGTTACAGATTGTGCCCAAAATTTGCGAGTTGAAACATGCCGGTTCCGCCGTTCTACGTTCATTGTCGCACGATCTCGGATTTCCATCGATGAGAACTGTCCAGGAAAATGTTCGCGCTAACACTAGTGAGGTAGATAAACGAGTAATAATAAATGGCCAAGTGTACATAAAATGGTAACGAAAATAGGTAATTGTTAAGTTGCATCATTGTCTTGAACGCATTTTTGAAATTGATGAAATCTTTGTTTGTAAACGTAGTGAAAAGATCGATATTTTCTTACAGCTATACACACACAATTTTTATATAATTTTTCTCAAGAGGTGAGTACTTTTCGCGAGCTATTATTAATTTGATATTATTCGATCTTCTTTCAATTCCATTTTTCATGCTTACATGTTCATCATAAAGTAACGCAGATATATCACTGTATTATCTGAATTCGTGAAAAATTGCAAATATTAATACTGATTAAATGTTTGGTAAATGTATGTATCACGTCATTATAAAATTTCATTCTGCAGACGTTTTAAACTCGATGACTATAATCTTCGAATTATATTACCTTTTTCCCAACAAATGCAAGTACTCTAAATAAGTGTAATGATTAAATTTAATCAGTCTATATTCTATCAATGAAAAATTCACGATAAATTAAATTAAATTATCCTCTAAACCGTTCTCATTGTACAACTATTTCTAATAAATTCATTTGACACATTTACTTGTTACGTTTGATCAGGTATGAAATGAAATTAGTTGGTGACAGGGCAGGCACTCGCTGTTGGCAACTTGCTTAAGTATTCTATGAAACAATATTTCTCCATTGTGATCAGAAAGAAATAAGGCAAGAAATGGGAATTAACGAAAATATAATAAGGAATAATAATTCGAACAGTGTTATTACGAACTAAAGTAACTCCGCGTCGTTTTCTTGCGTTTCAAAAACGGAATCCCGTGCGAACACTTCTGATTGCTGAACGTCGAGGAACTTCGTGTTTCGACTCGCAGACCACAATTTGGATTGATCTGTATATTTACAATAATCGCAGTGACGATCGATTCGATATCATCTTCCTATTTATTTATACAGCGTGATTCTTTCTTCGTCCCTCTCCCGTTCAATGAAAATCTGTCGCATTGCATTCATTGCGTTGGCAAATCTAGGATAACCCTGGACACCGTCCGAGAGCGATTGGCAAACTAGAGATGGTGCACCTCGATACTCGCTGACTGTTTAACAATAAGTAACGTCCCGAAGAGCTGGCTTGATTTTTTTTCTCTACGCCCGTAGAAGTATTTTATCTCTCGTCATCTGTCCCTTGAATGCTTCCATTCTGAATTCTACGGTTTCATCGACGATTTATCTGCTAAGGTTTTTATTGCTACGTCTCGGCTACTGTATCGAAATGGGGTTAGCGATTACAATTTCTCGTGTCAGAGTGGTTCAGTATAAAGTGGCTTGGCAGTGTTTAACATTGGTGACCGTAACGACAAGACCTGACAATTTATCCGGATGTTCCCTGTCGCGTTCTCGACTTCGCCCGCTATTATTCGAATATCCGCCATTTCAATCGTTTCGTTAATAACCAACGTTTGTTACTCGATAAATTATATATCCTCGCGTCTAACAATTCCGGCGTTTGCTTTCACACCGCCGCGAATCAACAGAAGATTAAACAACGGAGAGGACATCTCGAACAAATTTTAAACGCGTTAATTTTAACATTCATTCTTCGAATATTTTAGGAAGATAACGTTTCCAATCAATTGAACAGGATCGCAACGTTCCTTTTCTACGATGGCATTTCGCCGACGATCTTGCTGCTCTGCAATGCTGCGCGCCAACGCGTCGTCGATCAACATTTTTGATAGCTCCTTTTCGAAAAAAGTCCTTTTCGTCCTTCATTTTACAATCCGCGATAATCCCGAAGTGGACACAGGGCACGAGCAGCAAAGATTTTTCCGAATACCATCGTAGACGAGGAACTCGATGCGATCTTCGATACAACAATTAAAGATCGCTCAAACAATTTCATCGTAAAGAATCGTTATCTATCGCGAATCTCTCTCTCTTGTTAATTAGACGTGAATTAATCCTACGCTCGTTATGTACACACAATATCGTTCAACATTTAAGACCACGATTCTTTTTACAAACGAAGAAACAATTCCGTAAATCTTGACGCTTCGGTTACCGACTCGAGTTAAGAAACAAAACAATCTCGAGAACAACGCATTGGTTTTTCATAATTGCGCGCCGAGAATTGTTCGAACGAAATCCAGGAAACGTGTTTGTTTAGTTCCCGATACTCGCGAAAATTGCTTTGCTTCTTAACCGTCTTCGGCGAATATAACCGTCGATGTTGATTCCATCGTTAACCGTTTTAAATTCTATAATTTGTCGCTCAGTTGTCGAACAGTTTAAACATCGAAAGACAATTTGGATATTCGAATCTGAAAAATATCCGGATAGTCAGTCGCAGTCCTAGCAAGCGTATAAATTAAGAAGCGGTGTGTTGAAACACAAATGTTTGCGACATGCATGCGTGATTACGTGTCCCGTTACAATGAACGCCGTTTAGTAATAGTTCTGAAGATTTCAGTCGGAAAGTCGGAAAGATCGTGAAAATTCGCGCGCAATTGAAAGTCGATGAACAGGTCTTCCCCGAATGGTCTTATAGGCGAGCCTTTTACGTTATCAACGAGATCCTTTGTGCTCTCGCAATTATAGAAACGCTAGAAAGCCGGAAATCATCGAACGTACGCGATTCACCGTGTGATCTACGTTACGCGAACCGTCTGTAAATGTTCTCTAATGAAACGTTACAAATTTTTATCTCACGTGGTTTTTCTCTGTTTTTTTTTCTTCTTTTCCGTCGTTTATCAATTTCTTGGTCTTAAGCGCACTTATTAATTCGACACTATGTTATTCTGGCGCGCAAGAAGCATTCGAACGAAACGATAAAACGGATCCGTGGTTCTGCGTTCGCGGAGCTCCCCCTTGCGATATTCGATAAATGCAGTAATTTATCCATAATTCGTGCTCAAATTACGCAGGAAAATGATCAATTTGGGAAGAGGAGATACGATTATTCGAGCCTCGAGGCTTGTCTTTATAGTTGTTGGCAATCGGTGACTATAAAAACGAGCCGCAAGGCTCGAACAATCGTATTTTTTCTTCTCAAATTGTCCATTTTTGTGCGCCATCTGAACGCGAATTAGGGTGAAATTACTGTGGTTCGCAACGTGCTATATCGTAAATAGAAAAATTATGTTTCCCAGCGGTATCAACCTAACGATAATACGTAGTCAGCGATAATTCATCTATGTATTTTTTCTTTGCTCAGCGGTAATTAGTCTTCAAGTTGGTTGAATTCCTTTAATGTTCCTGTCGACTGATTTTTCTTTCTTTTTTTTACACTAACTTTAGCTTCAACAACTCATGCAGCAAGTTACGAAAATAAAGAAACTCGAGGGTCCGGCGTATATTTAAATTCTGATTAATGCAACTCTCCCTGATTTGCATTTGAACGCGTGTCCCTTACCATTAGCATCCATCGCTTCGGATCTTCTAAAATTATTCGAAGGTAGAGGTATTGAAAAACACTTACTGGATTTCGGTCGAGATTACCGAGAGAATACGTTTCCACGAATGCTCTCGCTCGAAATATATTCTTCTCGTGCAAGCATTTTTGGCCGCCTCGATTGTCCGCGTCAATACGAGTTATTCATTTAGGAACGCTTTTCTTACGTTTAAAATTATTATGCATTATCATCTCGTTCTCAGGACCAGCTCGGTATTCGCACAATAGAATTTCAACGGAAATCGTCGTAAGCACAGCACAGATTCTGGAAACTATGCCCCTCCAAAATTCGTTCACAACTCATGCATCGGAAATAATCACGGTTTACGCTCGTTCCTAACTGCTTTCGCGTCTGCTACAACGAACGAAACCTAAATCAGCGGTTTGCTACTGGAAACGAAATCTTTTCTCGGCCAGCACGTGTCCCGCAGAAATCAACGAGGACAAATGAATCATCGTGATTTCTGTTGCATAAGCACGCGAGAAATTTGTATAATAAGAAAATACGGTCTCGAGAAAACCGGAACCAGGTCCTGACAGCGATTGATTTTTCCACAGTCTCGCCCTTATCAGTTTCACAGATGGATCTTTCATCTTCGCACGATTTTTCATGTTTCATAAGGCGCGATTGAACTCCCCGGAAAAGTCGAAAAGATTCTATCAGGGAAAAAGTGATCTTTCAGTTGATCCAGCTCGCACGTTTACAAGGTCCTATAGTTCCGTGATACGTGCCGAACCTTCGGCGATCGTACAAAATCGAGGGATCCGGCTGCGGACGTCCTCAAAGAAGATCAAGATGCTCCGTAGACGCAGGCAGAGTTGTCAGGCGGACTGATCTTCTCCACTGGCAAAACTGCTGCCCTGTGCCATTCGTCCCGTACCTGAAATTCAAACGGTTTCATTTTGTTTGACCCGTATCACCATGAACTTACGCTCCGCAAACGTTTTACCGCTAAACCTACCGTGCACTAACGATGTACAACTCGCGTCGCTCTATAGAACTTGTGTGTACGTGCTTGAATTAACACTCGAACGACGGACATTTTTAACGAAAATATCACCGAGTATGGTTCTAGGATTATTTGTCACTTTATTTGTCAATTCTTTTCAGCGTGTTTTTCAAGATACTGCTTTTGAACACATTTGATTTTTGTGCAGATCTTAACGAAACACGTGGGCATTGAAATTATTTTGTCAGAAACTAGAGCAGACGGTCGGCAAAACTATGATCCGTGGGTCATCAAGTGATTTGACAATTTTATTCGTTTTTATAATAATTATAATTATGATTTTTATGTTCGGAGTTCGAAAACATATTGCAATTATTTTCTCAATAAATTGATATTCGCTACGAGGCTGTTTTAAAATGAAAATACAACTGGCCCGAAGCGTCTTTTTGATATTAATTGACTAGAGAATTAAATAGCAATATTTATATTCCGAATCCAAATGAGAACCCGAGCTCCGCCGTCCAAATGTTAACTAAAAAAACAACTTATCCAAGCGTTTGATTCTGTTCATCAAATCGGACTACGAAGAGGATTTTTTAATTAGTTGATAGTGAGTGCATGAGACTCACCTCCTCGACTTTAGCAAATACCCTCAGTAAATTGAGGCCAGCTAATTTTTTAATGTCCTCCTCCGTCCATGTCGGGTCTTCCAGGAGCGTTGCCAACAATTGAGGATACCTCGATACGTCCTCCAAACCGGTGGGAGTACTGTAAACGATGTTCAATGTTCACCGGTCGATCGTTCGCACGATTAATGTCGTCGTTCAGAGAATAAAAGAATCACCGGCTAGCAGCTGTTTGTTTGCTGATCGATAAAAGTAACTTTATGATTCGCGGGTTTCGTCGAACTGTTTGTTCGTCGCGTCGAAATTCGTTGTAAATTCCGACGCAGGCGAAACTGCTAATGCGGAGCAGAGCCGGCCGCTGATGCCCGATTCTCTGAACGCACAACGCATCAAGGATACTCAAAAGATAATTACAAATTTATCCCGTCGAAGCCGGCTCCTATTCCAACGTGATCGATCCCCGCCACCTTTCGAATGTGATTGATGTGTGCTGAAACAGTATGGCCTCTTAATAAGCTCGGCCGATATCGAGACGTTTTAAATGTTGATTTCATTATGCCAAATTCGCGTCGTCATTAACTTTTCGTTAACGTTCCGGTTCGAATGAAATCCGCGTCTAGCTGATCGATCATTAAACCCGGCTGGAAGTTGCTCGATTTAATGGGGATCGGTAGAGGCAATCGAGCTACGCGAGATTTTACGGATTTTGATTGGATCTACAGTAATAATTTCTCCTTAATTCGCGCTCGGATCGCGCACGAAAATGGACAATTCGGGAAGAAGAGCCTTGCGGCTTGTTTTTATAATTACCGCCAGTCAACAACTATAAAAACGAGACGCAAGATTATGTTTGTGCGCAATCTGAGCGCGAATTAGGGTGAATTTACCGCATTCAGTGCTGTAACATTCGGTTCTCTTGATTTTGTTTACGGCATTGGATCAATTTTCGGTGCATATTGATTTCGAGTAATTCTTCCCGATCTTTGCAAATTTATTTGCATAATGAAGCCCCGTTTATATGAAATCGACGAGTCGCGGAATATTGAAATCAGTAAATTTTTCGGTTAATTGAACGATGCCTCTGTGCAAAAATTTATCATGCATTTTAAACGAGGCCTCATTAATTCACTGTTTTCATTTCGATATGTTCTTGAAAATGATTTATGGCGTCACACGAAAGCAATTTTGCTGGTAGTTGATGTTTTCCGAACGGCATTTTTCATCTACTGCAATGTACGTTTTTGCGTGAACTTTTCTATCAAAAACCTAATTAGTTTTAGCCGCATGAAAATCGTGGACAACGGTTTATAACGCAAAGTGTAAATTACATTTTATTTGTAAAGGAATATAGAAAATATAACTCATGGTTTCAGGATTTAAATCAAATAAAAATTACAGTTAATTATATATAAACGATGTATTGGATTTAGATATTCAGAAACAATTGAATTCATTAAATAATATACAAAAGTCATATATACCTAAAACTATAAAAATTATGTATTTGATTCACGCTATCTTTTTACAATCTCTAATTTTCAATTCGAAGAAGCCTACGTTATGAACTGTTTAGTGACGGTAGACTTTTCACTGCAATTAGTTTTAATAATTTAATGTTAATTAGTTTTAAAAGATAAATAAGTAGTTTGCAAAAGTATTTGCAGTGAATGGAAAGTGCACGGAGTGCAATAATATTCACGTGTCCGTGCTATAAATAATTTACACGTTTGCGTTATTACCTATCATTCGAGTAAACGTGTTACAGGAAAGAAGGTAGGACGACAGTAATAATTACGGTTTGCAATAACGATACGGTGGTTTTTATGTCCGTGGTCAGCAACAAAATAGCGTGTGGTTGATGGTGTTCTACGTACCAATAACATCTTTTATGGTGGCGGTGCTGTTGCACGTTATGAAGAATGTATAAAACGGAACCATTGCCACTCCCCCGTTTTTAGCCTGCAAACAGAAGCATTAAAACATCAGATACGCCGGGATTATGAATATTTGAATGAGCTTTGTATAAGGAAATAACGATCGTAAAAGTTCCCGGAACAGGAAGGAACGTGTAATTTATTCAATGCGTACGTATGCGGGTCGCCGGAAATATAACTTCTCCGACGAATATCAAAACCTTTAAAAAATTTCATCAATCCTCGTCTGTCAGTCCTCCTCAGAATTTCGTTTGACCCCTGATCTTTGTGATACAATGTCAAATTAATAGAATCGGAAGGCTGCTGTTAACTTACACAACAGATGAGACACAAAACCGTAAAATATGAGAATTTATTTCTATCCGAACTGTAATTTTCTTGTAATTATTTCAGATTATTAATTATTTATGTTGGGCCCAATAAGATCGTTCATCTCAGAGAAATGGATTCAAAGATATGTAAGTAATTTCTTATCACATTTCTATCCGAGTTATTTTTCTTTTAATTCGTGCAGAACATTCTTTCTTTGCAGAAAGAAGCGCAGTTCGATAATCTTATAATCTTCTATTAAGGAAAAAATTACAATACTTCCAGGTATGCATGAAATCATGCATTTCACGATTTTATGCATTTATGACGGAAATGCATAGCTGCAATTTAGAATATTAAAACGATTTAAAGAATTTAAAATCGTTGATGCATTAAGTTCAACTTATTAAAATGTTTAAAGCGAGGAAGATGTTTCTATTTTTGCGATTAAGGCAGTAAGTTTTTAATTTGCATACATATTCGCAGTATATTTATCGCAATATAAAATTGATCGAAGAAAATAAAAATTGATCGCAACTATTGCACGAAATAGGAACCGCTTCTTTTAATTATTTCTTGTACATTGAAGATAATGTATTCAGCGCTCTTCAATTCTTTTAATTCTTCTATTGGGTTGGCAACTAAGTAATTGCCGATTTCAGTTATAGATGTCTCTCACTCCCATTTTTATGATATCCGTAAATGTTATATTATAAAATTATTATTATTATTATTATTATTAT